TTGGTCGTGCATAACCCCCCAAAACCCACCACAAAAGAACCTCCATAACCAGCCAAATAATACACCACAAGCCACCCTCCATTGTCTCTTAAAAAATGGCCGAGAACATTCCCCCCAAAACAATCAAGAAATACCATACACCCCCCCTTTGATTTACAACCACTAATGGCCGAATATCAAGCCCCCACAACCCCACCTTCACATTTTCTTTCATTCCATTAAGGGGACATAAAATAAGCGGACATTTCCTCATATTATGAATGGATGTAGCTAGGAAGTTTCCATCCCCCTTTGTTGTGTGTTTAAATACGGCCATAGGCCTATGTATTTCATCACTTTGTATTCTCATCTTTTCAAGTAATACACTTGCGTGTGTTCTTTTCAAAGTCCTAATTCTATATCTTAAGAGTGGTTCTCTTGAGTGTGAGTTTTAGGTTCTAGTTATTTGAATAAGTGTGTAATATCTTATTTGAATACTAGACTCAACCCCAAGTTAAGATAAGAGTGTGTAATATCTCTTAACACCAACTTGGTTTATCCCTTCCTTAAAGAAAAATACTAAAAAGAACTCCTCCATCTCTCTCCCACTTCGGCCTCCCCCATTTCCCTCCTTTAAAAAACCCTCTTTCACTCCTTCTCCTTAGCCTAAATACAGCCCTAAACCAAGCTATTCTACTGTCCATTCATCCCATCTAAAACAGCCCCTTCTCCCACCTAAATTCCCCTCATAAATCCATACAAACTTTCCCATTTTCTTCCCATTATTTCGGCCTCCTTCCTTCCCCTTTCTCCCTTGAGTTGAAGCCTAACAATTCTGCCCTATCACCTCTTCCAAACAACCATATTTTCTTCACCATTTCATACACAAATCCAACCTATTCTTCACCATATATTCCTCTCTATAATCTGCTCTTATTTATCCATAGCATTTCCTAAGCTTGGGTACATGAGAAGCAAGCCTCACGGAGTTGGAACATCCGCTTTCACGAAACTGTCATCGCCTTTGGTTTTGAAAGAAATTCGGATGAATATTGTGTATACAAGAAGATCAGTGGGAGTGCTGTAGTCTTCCTTTCTCTGTATGTTGATGACATACTGCTCATAGGAAACGATATTCCTACTTTAACCACTGTCAAAACGTGGTTGAGTAAGAGTTTCTCTATGAAGGACTTGGGAGATGCCAGTTATGCACTTGGCATAAGGATCTATAGGGATAGATCACGGAAGCTGTCTCAGTCAAAGTACATACATAGACAAAGTCCTCGCTAGATTCAGCATGTCTGAATCGAAACGAGGAAGTTTGCCTATGGTCCAAGGCACGAGTCTTTCCAAGACTCATGGTGCTTCCACTCCAGAGGAAGTAGAACGCATGAGAAATGTTCCTTATGCATCGGCCATTGGATCCATCATGTATGCGATGGTATGTACGAGACCTGATGTTGCCTTTGCTCTGAGTGTCACGAGTAGATACCAGTCCAACCTTGGCGAAAGCCATTGGACGGCTGTGAAGAACATCCTTAAGTACTTTCGTAGGACTAAGGATGCCTTCCTGGTATATGGCGGAAAAGAAGAGCTCAGTATTGTCGGATATACTGATGCCAGCTTCCAGACTGATATAGACGACTTCAAGTCGCAGGCAGGGTATGTGTTTTGTTTGAATGGCGGAGCTGTTACCTGGAAGAGTTACAAGCAAGATACTACTGCTGATTCCACTATAGAAGCAGAGTACATGGCTGCAGCCGAGGCAGCCAAGGAAGGTGTGTGGCTCAAGAATTTTATTTCTGAGCTTGGAGTGGTTCCTAGCATCAAGAACCCTATACCGTTGTTTTGCGACAACAATGGGGCAATTGCACAAGCGAAAGAACCTCGGTCTCACCAGAAGACCAAACACATCGTTAGACGTTATCACATCATACGAGAAATCGTTGCACGTGGGGACGTTGAGATTTGCAAGATAGGTACAGACGACAATATCACGGATCCGTTGACGAAGGCTTTGGGAAAGCCTAAACACGAGAGTCATACGTGGTCCATGGGCATTCGAGAAATACTTGATTGGCCTTAGGGCAAGTGGGAGATTGTTGTATTTAGGTGCCTTAACGGCAATCAAATACCCATGTAACTGTACACTTTATCATGAATGAAAGGCCTTGAAGTATGTTTTATATCTCGTGTAATATAACATAGCTTCAGTCCATAGACGATAGCGCTTCAGTAACATAGATGAGGACTACGATGTGCTGATTATGAGACTGTTACTTCTTGACGAAGGCTATGTCTAGAATATCCCTAGTCGCACTTTATGATAATACGGACGTCATAACGTATCAAGACTAGTACGTACGAGATGAGATAGTTGCGTCTCATAGACTATAGGTATTGTGATATCTCAATCTGTACGTAGGTGTATATTATATCGATAATATGTAACTGGATTGACCCATCTTGAGAATACTGCATGGATCTACAGTAATGTGTTTATCAGTATTCTGCATTCGACCTTGCTATAACTATCCTTTGACTTGAAGTTATTACATTCTCTGATATGTGGGGCCGTATACTTTGATTCATAACTAATTCTATCTGAAATACTGGTGGATGTACAGTTATGCGTTGGGTATGCCGCTAAGCATATTTGGAGATGTGAATAACAGATACAGGATCTGTCCCTTCTACTGTATAGAAGTATAATGTCAATGGGCCCATTGAATAGTAGGACTTGGTAAAGTGCATGGCCATGCCACGATATGTCGCTATCCAGAGAGTGATAAATATCTGATCCCTACCAGTCTACTTGAGATTCAGTAACAGCTGATTTAACTATACAAGGATACACATCCCATGCCTTGTGTTAAATCATGACATTTAGGACAGAACGATAATAGTTATAGAACGTCTTGTGTCGTAGAAGGTATTGATGAGATGAACGTCTTTTTCATAATCTGGGGATAATAATGTGTTGCTAGATACCGCTTATTATCTATGGTATTAATTTATATTAATATCATTGCTAGTGTTATGGATACCTAAAGGGTCACACACTTAGGACTTGTAAGGGAGTAGTTTACTACACTAGTGGGAGTAATATTAAATATATAGTTGTGATAATTTTATACATATATATATATTTCGAAAATACATATGTATTTTAAAATTATATTTTGTTTGTGTCATTTTAATTATATGATAATTATATTTTGACAAAACAAATTTTATATTATATATATATATATATATATATATATATATAGATTTTGGTTCAGGTGAGAATGCAATCTTATGAAAGAAATAAGAATGAATCCGGTCCTTTAGATTGTGAGATCTAAGGGTCAGGATTGCATCAAAATTAGATGCACCAAGATGGTTTGAAAATGCATCACGTCGAAATGCACCATAATCCTTTGAAAATGCACTATCGCAAAATCTGAGTGCAGGATGCAATCTGAGCCGCACGATGCATCAGATCCAAAGGCTAGATTTTATTCTTATTTCTTTCACTAAGGTGCATTCTCACCTGAACCACCCCCTATATATATATATATATATATATATATATATATATATATATATATATATATATATATATATATATATATATATGTAGCGCCGAATATGTGTATATATATATATATTTTTTAATTTTCATCATTTTAATTATATGATAATTATTGATGTCAAAATAAAATGTAATGTGCTTTTAAATTGGGAAGGCTGAAAATATCAAAGGGAAAAATACAAGACATAAATTGATTTTCTACCTAATGATATTCTTGATTGATATAATCAAATATTTGATTAACAAAAGGATATTTGTCTTGTTGTGTTGGTTAGGAACAATGAATTAAACCTAATTTGTTTTTGTCCCTAAGCAATTTCCTAGCATTTCCTTAATGCATTGTATTATAAAATGTGAGTATCCCTCCCCATTTTTAAGAGAGAGTTTCGGCCATCATATTTGAGAGAGGTGAAAAATATTATTTTGTGTTCCAAGTTATTTTTAAAGTGTTAGAAATATACACAAAATATTATAAAGAAATATTTATAAGATAAATATTTTTACTATATATTTATTACTCCCAAAGTAGTATTATTATAGTTTTTACTATCCTAAATTAAACTTGCTAGCACAAGTTTAATCTAGGACTCCGGAGGAAGTTCGTGTGGATACGTTGGAGGCTTCATACGTTTGGCGCTACGTTCATCTCCTCAAAACCATCCCCAACCGTTCCTCCGTTCTCCATTTTCACCGTTAAGGTAAATTTCTTACTATAGCTAGTAATTTACGTAAGTTGTTCTTGGGTGGAATCGAGTTTTGGACTATAAATTTTTGTTTTCCGCTGCGTCATCCAAGCCTCGTTTCCCAACACTAGGATCCTTGATTCATCCCTGCGGCTTGGTGGCAACATGATATATGGAGGAGACTTTGTATAGGTGGGTTGGGGCGGAAGTCTCCTCAGTAGATCCACATCATTGGCCTTCATAGCAAGATTGATTTCTCCCTTGTCTTCAATAGGCTGACTATCCATTTGTGGTTTGATGATTATGATCGTTCCCTCCCCCATGGAAGAGTCCTCGTCGTCACTCACCAGAAGTTCATCCCAACTCCTTAAGCTCCAACCATCGTTCGGGCAAACATAGTCATACCCGTCAAGTAGGGAGTCAAAGAAGGTTTGGTCTGAATCTTCAGATGAAGCATTGTGTACACAGGTTTCTATAAGCGGATTTGGCTTTTCCATGCAAAGTAATTCCTCGTCTATAGATTCCTGCTCGGACACTTGGACATTGGTATCTTGGGGGCAGGTAATGGGCTCTATTTCCCCTAGAAGAGGTTCCTCTAGAGGGGTGTCTTCAACACAATTAAGGAGATGGTCGTTTATTGCCATAGGCAAAACTTCCTCCTCCTTATTTTCTTGAATAAGCATAGGTGGTTCTGAGTCAGGTCCCTCAGTTGGTTCCACCTCATGTACGACTATGCTGGTTGAGACATGGCTAGGAGGATATTTAGGTAACATTACCACAGTAGCCCCAGCGAGAGTTGTTATGCTCTCGGGTTTATGTGATGGTGCGGAATTAGGTGAATCTTCTAGAACCGGGACCTGTTGGTTGATGGGTTCAGGGTTGGTCTTAGGTTCTAGAGCCTCTTTTTGAACGTTAATCTCCCTCATTTGATCTTGAGATGGGAGGGAGCGTTTAAGTTCAACAGCCTTGCAGAGATCATTGACTAATTTATCAGCTTTAGCCTCAGCTTCTAGTCTCTCTCTTTGGAAGTCATCTAGCATTTTCTGCATCATATATGATCCTTCGCATAATCTCCTTTCGAACTCCTTTTCCTTCCGGACTGATTCGAGAAGTTTTGCTCTTTCTCGAATTGCCACCTTGTTTGCTTCAATTGGTTCTTCAGCAAACAGGGTATAGTAACGAGAGTAGGGTGGTTCGTACCAGGAGCCTTCAGCAAATAAGACTTCGTCGAAATATAAGATTTTCTGTTCTAATCTTATGATCTCTTCGACGAGTGGATCAGATTGATTGACGCACATAGGCCCATCAGAATCTTGGTATGGAGAATATCTAAAGTTCCTAGACGAGGTGTCATATGGTGGTTCCTCATGGTAGAGATAGTAGTCGGACCCATTGTTGACTTGGTATTCCTCATCATATGGGTTCTGATGTGGGTGATAAGGTGGATGGGTTTGAAACGGAGGACGGTTAGGTGATTGGTAGAAAGAAGGCGGACCGTAATAACCACTGGAGTTATCCATAATAATTATTACGGGTGGTTGGTGAAAAGACGTGAGAAGATCGCTCTAACCAATCTTCACCCAAGCTAATTAAAAGAAATTAAACGAATGCCGTGCCACTCCCCGGCAACGGCGCCATTTGACAGTCGTAGTTTTCGGGTAGTAAACCTTCCCAGTAAAGGGTTAGTTTTCTCTCCGAGTGTCGTATCTCTCGAGGAGTGGACGAAGGAAATTAGTTTAATTACTCTAATTAGGCAAAGATTAGGACTGGTTTATGAAAGTCTTCTCGAAATGAATAAAAAGGGAGTAGAGTAAAAATACTAAATCAAGTCTACATACTATAAGTGTAGATCTGGACCTAGGGTAAGGACATCATCTGGATCTATTTTTTCATATTAAATTAACAATTGGAATAATAATATTTCTATTACTACTCATCTATTTCTAGATTTGTACTTAATCTGTTGCACTTGAATATCATAGCCTTTTGGCATACAATATTTTCTCAATAAATGGCCAATTAAATCTTTCGAGTTTAATTAACCAATTAAGGCAAGAACAATAGACTAACCATTGGGACAAAAGTTGCTTACAGATTAAGTAACTTTGGACGCCCAGGACCCGAATCCAGCGCCCGGCCATTTTGCTTACAATTGCGGTTTCTCGTGATTTTGGGCCCAAAGTTGTTCCGTATCGGCCCAATTGGCTCCCGGACACTGATATTTACCTCCAAAGTATTATGATCTTTAAAATCTAAAACTTTTTATCCAATTTGTATATAAAATTCATAAATCCACTTAATTTGATTTAGAACCTGTATTTTATTCTTCTTGAGACAAAACATCTGTTTTGTCACTAGTAGACACTTTTAATGGGTAAATTTATTACTATTTTCGTGCAATAACGCTTAAAATATGTGGAATAAAATAAGAACAAAAGGAACTTATCACCCCTACCCGTCCCCCTTGCTCCATGGGAAGATATCAGCTTGGACTTCATCACCGAGCTGCCAAAGACTCAACGAGGTAAAGATTCTATCATGGTCGTCATGGATCGGTTTTCAAAGATGGCCCACTTTGTACCATGCCTCACCACCTATGATGCTTCCCAAGTAGCTGACCTCTATTTCCGAGAGATAGTACAACTCCATGGCGTTCCCCGAAGCATGGTCTCGGATAGGGACACGAAATTCCTTAGCCATTTTTGGATGACCCTATGGAGAAAGTTGGGTACTAAACTGAAGTTTAGTACGTCGAGCCACCCACAAACCGATGGCCAAACTGAAGTCACCAACCTGCATCCTTGGAACACTCTTACAAGTTCTCATCAAGAAGAACATCAAGCAATGGGAAGAGCTTCTACCGCACGCCGAGTTTGCCTACAACCGAACCCCGAACAAGATTACCGGGCTATCCCCATTCACGGTGGTCTATGGTTCGAACCCCTTGACCCCACTTGAACTTGACCCGATCATCACCGACACCAAATACAGTTGGGAAGCAGACAAGCGGTCAAAGGAAATCCAAGACCTTCACGCCAAGGTTCGAGACAAGATTGAGGCTATGAACGAGAAGATAAGCGCGCACATCAACAAAGGAAGGAAGGACGTCCACTTCCAACCGGGAGACCTTGTTTGGATTCACCTTCGGAAAGAGAGTTTCCCCACGAAACGCAAGTCAAAGTTGCTGCCAAGAGCCGATGGCCCGTTTGAAATCTTAGAGAAAATCAACGACAATGCCTACAAGATCAACCTTCCGGGAGATTATCGAGTATCGGCTACTTTCAATATCAAGGACATTAGTCCGTACTTCGGGCCTAAAGAAATGCCGAGTTTGAGGACAAACTCTTTTGAAGACCGGGTGGATGATATACCCCGGGTAACCACCAACGACTCTAAAGTCCTTAAACAAATCAACGGAATAATGGCCAAGTGTTATGATCCCTTTTGGAGTGAATTTATCACCATTAAAAACCATAACCTAACCATAATGTCCTTGGATCCTTCCCGACCATGAGGCCGAACCCAAACCTTGGCTAAAACCACCACACCCTAAATATCCAAACCAACCTTTAAAACCACAACCCAACCCTCCTCTTCTGCCCTCACCTTTGGCCAAAACACTAAACCCAAAGCCCACACATCACCCCACCTATTGAACCCACCTTAGATTAATAATCACAATCCCAATAATAGCCTAATCAACAAGCCCCTTTTTCCCCCTTGTTGTGGCCGAAAACAATCAGCCAAAAACCTTCCCAAACCCATGTCACAGCCCCCACAATTGTTCCCCATTATGCTCTCCATTATGTGTAAGGAAACAAGCTGCAAACAAACAAAACATATTGTCCCACCTTGGCAGCCACCCAACTCACCTTTGCTCTCCATAAACTACCTATTACATCCCTCCAAAATAGCCAACCCACTCACCCCTTGTACCCCCCCTGACTGGCCGAATCAACCCAACCAATACCCTCCAAAATGGCAGCCCACTCCACCATAACTTGCCCACAATAATAACCCAACAACAGCCCCACAATCCAGCCCCTATCTCTGATTTTCTTCCCCACCAAAGGACTCAAATAAGTGGTTATTATTCCTTTAATTTGTGTGAATAAGAGACTTGGTAGTCTCCCTTGTTTTGCTATATATATTTCGGCCATAGGCCTTTGTAACATCATCAGATTGTATTTCCCATTTCAATAGTAATACACTTGTGTGTTCTATTTTAAATTCCTATTTCTATATCTTAAGAGTGGTTCTCTTAGGTGTGATTTATAGGTTCTAGTTATTTAAATAAGTGTGTAATTTCTTATTTGAATACTAGATTCAACCCCAAGTAAAAGATAAGAGTGTGTAATATCTCTTAACACCTACTTGGTTTATCTTCCTTAAAGAAAACAACTAAATATATTTTCCTCCTCCCTACTCTATTTCAGCCACCCCCTCAAATACCCTTCCCTTTTTCACTTTCCCTTCTCCTCACTTAACCAAGAACACCTTAAATCTTCCCCTTCTCCTATCCCACAAGTCCCAACCCAAAGCACCCCATAAAACAGCCCTCTCCCTCTCAAACCTCCCTTCACAAACTCCCCTAAATATACCCCCTCTCACCCTTCCTGCCCAGCCTTTACCCTCTCCACCATTTTCCCTTGAAGTTGAGCGTAACAAATAAGGTTGCAGCTCTACTACATTAGCTATTTGAGTGTTTAATCCAAATAGGTAACGTACCAATGTTTGTGAATCGTTTTCTTGAAGGTCACATCTCATCAAGAGTTCTTTAAACTCCCGAGTGTAGTCTTCAACCGAGCGGGGACCTTGCCTTAGGTGTTGAAGTTTGGCAAAGTTGTCCCGTACATATTGTTCGGGCATGAACTTCTTCTTCAACAAGCTCCTCATCTTGAGCCAAGTCTTCACGGGGGCCTTATTCTCTCACCTTCTTTTGGTGGAGAGGTTGGACCACCAAGTGGAGGCATTCTTCCGGAACTTCAATGCCACGATCTTGACTTTCTTATCTTCGGGCACATCATTGAAGTCAAAGACGCGCTCAACAGTTTCTAGCCACTCTAGAAAGTCATCCGGATCGTTCTTCTCTTTAAAGGTTGGTATGTCAACCTTGAAATCGGTAGCTCCTCGTTCATGATTCTCCTCTCTAGTGGTGTAACTAGAGTTAGCTTCGGGGTGAACTTCTTCGTCTTCATCCCTTTCCTCCGGGGTATTCACCATGCTCATCTTGAGCTTAGTGAGTTGGGCAACTTGCTTGGCCAAGTATTAAACTTGGGCCTTGAGAGCGGCATTGGAGGCTAGGAGTTCTTCGTTGGATAGGTTGTTGGAAGTGTTTGACATGACGATAGCAAGGGAGGGAAAAGGAGAATGTATGTAAAGGAAGGAAAAGAGGAAGTGTGTTGTATGGCCTCAAAGGAATGCTCAACAACAAGCTTTGATGCCAAATGTTATATCTAAGCTCAAGGTGTTATGGGTAATGACCATGACTTAAGGAACACAACTCCTTTATTTACAAGGGGGGAAGATAATCGATTGTCCTAAATGGATAATTAATTGTCAAGGGGTTCAGGTTCTTGGGAAAACTTTCTAGGATTTTCAGGGAAGGGTGATAATCGAGTGACAGAAGGGTGTCAGTCGACTATTGAAGGTTGCAAGTAAATGGGGAAGGCTGATAATCGATTGTCTTATAAGGATAATCGATTATTGAAGGCTGCGGGTGTTTCAGGAAGGATGGATAATCGATTATTATCAGTGAAAATCGATTATATGACGACTCGAGAAAAAGAAAAGAAGTATTTTCTTGGGGAGGGGAATAAACCAAGTTGGTGTTAAGGGATATCACACACCCTTATCTTAACTTGGGTTTGAGTCTAGCATTCAAATAAGATATCGCACACTTATTTAAATAACTTGAACCTAAAACTCACACTCAAGAGAACCACTCTTAAGATATAGGATTAGGAATTTGGAATGAAACACACAAGTGAATCACTTTGATTAAAAATGGAATACAATGTGTTCCTACACCCAGGCATATTGCTGAATGTATAGAATTACATTGGAGGGGAAAAGAAAAAAATACAACTCACTTTAAATAATGCTCATGTGCTCATGCTTCTTGAGTGGAATGAAATCAGGGATATGGGCTGCTTGGTGGGGTTTTGGGCTATTCCTGAGTGGCTGGAAATGTTGGGGGAAGGAATGATGAATGTGGGGAGGGCTGAGGTTGAGGGCCAAGAAGTGGGGGTAAGATAATGTGGTACATTTGGCTGGGTATTTGTGGCAGTTGTGGGGGAATTTGAGTTTGGTCAGGATGGGGAGACAAAGGGGTGTGTGTGGGGTGTGTTATTTGGAGTTTTGTTGTAGGTTTGTTGTGGGGAGTGGAGGTATTATTGTGAAGGAAAATATCCCTGGGCATTTGGGTTGTAATTTAAGTGTATTGGGGAGCATAATGAGGGCCACATTGGGTGTTGTTTTGGTCACTTATTTTCGGCATTGTAAAAGAAAAAAGGGAAGGGAAATTGTGGTTTTGTTTGCTTTGGATTCCCGGGAATGATTTTTGAGATGTTGGATTGGTTATTAAGGTGGTGATGGGTTCAGGGTAAGTATGGTTAGGGTGCATGGTTTGGTGATAATTTCATTCCAAAGGGGATCATAACACTTGGATATTATTCCATTGATTTGCTTAAGGACTTGAGGATGATTTGTGGTGCTCGGGGATATATCGAGTTTGTTCCTCTAGCTCATGTTCCCAAACCGGCGCGATAGTTTCTTTGTCGTCTCGAATTTCTTCAAGCTCTATATTTCTCCCACTAGTTGCGTTGGAGAGAAATTCCTTCTCGAGGAAGACACCATTGTGAGCAACGAATACCTTCTTATCGATAGGGTGATAGAATGAATACCCTCGAGTTTCTAATGAATTGTAGTTTTTCGGGTAGTAAACGTTCTTAGTAAAGGGTTAGTTTTCTCTCTGAGTGTCGTGTCTCTCGAGGAGTGGACGAAGGGAATTAATTAATTTCTCTAATTAGGTGAAGGCTTAGACAAGTTTATGAAAGTCTTCTTGGATCGATTATAAATAGAGCAGAGTAAAAATAATAAATAAATTTCACATAGTATAAGTGTAGATCTGGATTTAGGGTCAGAACATCATTTGGATCTATTTTATCATATTAAATTAACAAATGGAATAATACTATTTCTATTACTACTCTTCCATTTCTAAATTTGTACTTAATCCGTTGCACTTGAATAACATAGCCCTTTGGCAAACAATATTTTCTCAATAAATAGCTAATTAAATCTTCTGATATTAATTAACTAGATAAGGCAAGAGCAATTGACTAACCATTCCAATATTAATTTAACATTCAAAATATACAACGAAACTAGTCTGGACCCAGAGATCCGGATCCTAACTCATACTATGTAAACATAAATTAAAACAACATTTTATTAAATAAAGAAAACTTACAGCTTCCGAAAAAGCGGAACTGAACAGATCGAGAACGGAATTTCTCCAAAAATTATTCTAAAACTACTAATATGCTAAACTAAAACTCGGAATTGAAATGTGGAGCTCAAATCCCGAGATTGGGACTGAAAAGTGATGGTTGAATGGTGTGAAACGCGCTATATTTATAGGACATAGGCCGAGGCGTCCAAGTAGAAGCGTCCAAGTCCAGGTGTCCAGATCGGGACGCTTGAGCTGTTCCAGCCAACCAGGTTTTGCCATGTGTCAGTCTTGGAGCGCAATTTAAGCGAGGCGTCCAACTCAAAGCGTCCAACTTGGTCAGGCATCCAAGTTGGACGCCTTAAGCCCTTAGTCCGTTGGGCTTCGCGGTTGGTTCGTGATTTTGGCCCAACTTCACTCCGTTTTGGCCCCGAACACAGTTTTTGACCTCTTGGAAGCTCGTTCAAGCCCGAATCTTGATCCCTTGATGATTCTTCGTCCTTTTATCAAGTATCTGAACATAAAATGGATGATTTATGATGATTTCATGTGGAATCCCCCTTTATGACTCTTAGATCAAAAAATGAGAGTTTTATGGATTAAAAACACATTTTATGAGATGATTAAATACTATTTACGTGTAACAAAGTTTAGAATATGATGTAAATGATAAAACGAAATGGACTTATCAAATTCCTCACACTTAAACGTTGCTTGCCCTCAAGCAACAAATTGAATAATTATAAATATAAAAGCAATTTAGTAATTACATAGGATAGGTTTAAGCTACATATTATGAAGGAAAGAGGAAATAAGATAGTCATCAACCTTTCTGTTAAGAAGAAATGAACCTTTAGATTCTCACCCATATTGTTAGAAATATAGTAGAATTTTGTCAAACCAATATTTTTATACCAACCTAAAAACCAAAAGTTTCCAAACTTTCCTTGGGATAACTACATTTCTTAGAGTAGTTTTAATGATCAAAAAGTCCTTAATGGCTAAATTGGAAAACATGTTCTTGCAAAAGTATTTGTCAAAATGTAAGGGTTTAACTTTCTTTGGTATAACTCTGTCATGTTGACACAAGAAAAATTTCCATCCTCATCCCGTGACATAGAACCACGAGCTTTTTGGAAAGTCACTGTGGAAAATCTCATCACACGACATAGAACCGTTTGCTTTTTTACTTTAATCGATCACTCAAAAGGCCTCATCACGCAATATAGAACCACGTGCTTTTCGTCTTACTCACCACGCCTCATCAATTGACATAGAACCAATAATCTCGGTCTCACCAAAGCATACTTTGAAACGTCACCCCTTATACTTTGAAACTAACTCTTTTCGAGAAACAACAATAATCTCGGTCTCACCAAAGCATACTTTGAAACGTCACCCCTTAATGGCTAAAACAATAATCTCGGTCTCACCAAAGCATACTTTGAAACGTCACCCATTATACTTTGAAACTAACTCTTTTCGAGAAACAACAGATACTCTTAAAAGCATAACACTTAAAAATTGATTGATCTTAAAAACTCTTAGTAAATTGTGAATTTATCCCAAATCATTTTTAGAAAACATTCTCAAAAGGTTAGAGTAAAAATAGAAGTTTGACAAAAAGTTTTAAACATTTTAAAAATTTCCAATTTTTACGGGTGATAACTAAAGATTTAATTAATTAAACAATTAAAATTGATGACTATAAAAATCTTTTCCTACAAATACATAGACAAAAGAATTCCTAAAAGATCATTTCAACCAAGAAATCTTGCTTCCTCACACTTAAACGAAACCACGCCCTGTGGCTAGGAGTATTTTTGAAATTGGAGTTACTGGTTGAAATGCTCACATGCAATTACTACGCAGGACGAAACAATAAATTATCATAACCTTTAAAAGAAATTCCACTTTTAAGAAATGAGTTTTAATAATCATAAAAATGGAATTCCAAAATAAAATCATATGAATATCCAAAATAATGTTCCGAATGCAATAATAGGAAAAATAGGGATCTCACTATCCCTGACGTTTGCTTGGCTTAGAACCAGCCTCATTCTCCATTCATCTCCCTCAAAGATTCGAATTTGATGATAACCACTTCGGAGGTCAATCTTTGAGATATTGGACCCATGAAGCTCATCCAACATGTCCTCAAGCCTAGGTATGGGATACCTATACTTGATGGTAATCTTGTTAATGGCTCGGCTATCGCAACACATACGCCAAGTACCATTTTTTGGTACCAAAAGAGCCGGAACAGCACAGGGGCTTAAGCTTTCTCTCACGAATCCTTGGCTAATAACTCATCAACATGCCATTGAATTTCTTTGGTTTCCTCGGGATTCATTCGATACGCGGGTTTGTTGGGTAGGGCAGCTCCTGGAGTGAGATCAATCTTGTGTTGAATGTCTCGTTTTGGTGGTAGGCCGTGAGGCACATCTTCGGGAAAGACATGGGAGAATTGTTCAACAATGGGCTTGGCAAATGGGTGAAGTGGGAGAGGGGTTGTAGTGGAATCGGGTGCTTCATTTTCAAAGAGAATCAGTTCTTTTCGGGGCTCATGAGGACGGGGGTTTCTTATGGGGGGGAAGCCGTGGGGTTAGAGGGGGGCAAGGATGTGAGGGTAACCTTCTTCTTGTTGATGAGGAATGAATATGTGTTGGCATATCCATCATGGAACACCTTCCGATCAAACAACCAAGGTCATCCCAATAGAATATGACAAGCATCCATTGGAATGATATCACACCATATCTCGTCGGAATAACTTCGTCCGATGCTTAATGAGACCAAACTCCGGGAATCCACACGTAACCCCTTGCCATGGTTCAACCATTGAATCGTGTAT